GTGGAGATGAACGAAATTAATATTTTACATCAATTTAAATCTTAATACACTTCAGATCAACTTCTGCTGTTATTACAGTCTTGTTTACATGATCAGCCACAGACTAATAAACTAATTAGAAAAAGAAACATTACGTGTGAACTGGAGATTCTCATAAATTCGGACTGATGTGCCTCTTCACGTACATACAAATGGATACAAACATACATACAAAAAGAGTGAAGCAGTTTATTAGGAAATTCTTTAGGCGGCCATCATCTGTGACTGCTGCTGCCACTGCGGTAGAACACGTTAAATACACTACATGGACAACAGTATTGGGACACCTACACATCACACCCACAGGATCTTTTATGAATCCCATTGTAAATCCACAGGCATTAATATGGAGTTGGTCTCCCTTTGCAGCTATAACAGCTTCCACTCTTCTGGGAAGCTTCTACAAGATTTTGGAGAGTCTGTGGGAATTTCTGCCCATTCATCCAGAAGAGCATTTGTGAGGTCAGACACTGATGTTGGACAAGAGGGTCTGGCTCACAATCTCCACTCTAGTTCATCCCAAAGGTGTTGGATGGGGTTGAGGTCAGGGTTCTGTGAGGGCCAGTCAAGTTCTTCCACACCAAACTCACCCAGTCAGGCCTTTATGGAGCTGCTTTGTGCACTGGGCCTCAGTCATGCTGGAACATGACTGAGCCCAGTTCCCACAAAGTCAGAAGCTACAATTGTCCAAAATGTCTTGGTGCTGAAGCATCAACATCCCCCTTCACTGGAACTAAGGGTTCTAGACCAACCCCTGAAAAACAGCCCCATATCATCATCCCTCCTCCACCAAACTTTACAGCTGGCACAGTGCAGTCAGGCAGGTAATGTTCTCCAAACCCAGACTCGTCCATCAGACTGACAGACAGAGAAGTGTGATTCATCACTCCACAGAATACGTTTCACTGCTCCAGAGTCCAGTGGCAGCGCTTTACTCCACTCCATCCGATGCTTGGCATTGTGCATGGTGATCTTAGGCTTGTGTGCAGCTGCTCAACCATAGAAACCCACTTCGTGAAGCTCCTAACATGCAGTTCTTTTGCTGCTGTTGCTTCCAGAGGCAGTTTGGAATCCTTTAGTGAGCAATTCAACAGAGGATAGACACTCTGCCGCTTCATGGCTGAGCTGTTGTTGCTCCTAGATGCTTGCATTTCAAAATAATAGCACTTGCAGTTGTCTGGGGCAGATTTAGCAGGACAGACATTTCACAAACTGACTTGTGACAGAGGTGGCATCCTATGACAGCACCATGTTTAAAGTCACTGAGCTCTTCAGTACGACCCTCTACTGCCAGTGTTTGTCTATGGAGACTGCAGGGCTATGAGCTTAATTTTATTCACCTGTTAGCAATGGGTGTGGCTAAAACACCTGAACTCAGTAATTACCAGGGGTGTCCCAATACTTTTGTCTGTGTATTTAAAGATAAACATTATGACACTTCATATCAATCCCTCTGTAGCCTGCCTTTCACAATTCTTGGAAATCAGAAAGATAATAAATATAATTCATCAGTAAGATGTGTTTTGCCGTATTTTCCTGTGTTCCTGGTTTGATCATGTTTAGGCTCTGTGGCGCCCCAACAGCTATTCTGATTGGCCAGCTTCCTCTCAATGTGTCATAGCTGAGCTCAGATAGGATCTCTCTGTACTCTCTTTATAGCTATCCTGGCATTTTGCATTTGAACAGATTATGATTTAAACACTATGGTTTTGGAAAAATGTGCGCCAATCTTTATTGTCAACATTTTTCATATGTCATAACCAAATATTTCAGATATAAACACAAAAACCATCATAGTTCCTCACCAGGGATCGATGAAATGAACGTTTTTGAGGCACGCCTACTCAGTACAATCTGAAAATAATGTAAAGAAACGTAAAATAACCATCAGAGCAGCTAAAAAAAAGATGATAAATAAAAAATACAGCATCACTATCTAAAGCCTTAACTCTCTCAGACACACACAGTCAGCATTTGACACAGTTTATTTCTTGGGTAAGAGCATTATGGGTATGTGGGTAGAGTACTGTACAAAAGTCTTCACCTAAGCGCATTATTAAAAACATTTATCTGGGCAGTAAAAGCCTTTCTGAGAGTGAAAACACTCATTAGAATAAATGCAAATGAACAGAAATAAATACTGTTAAAAGTTATTTGAATTTCTTATTTTCAAAATTACTCCAGCCATTACACGTTAATGTTAAATGCCATCAGCAGCAGTACATTCTTAAAAAGATGGTTCTTCGAGGGTTCTTTAGTAAAGGCAGTGGTTCCGTTTAGAGTCATGAGTTCTATACAGAACCATTTCCTGCTTAAAATGGTCTTTGCATGGTTAAATGATTCTTCAGATTGATGTGCTGTAGATGGTTCTATATAGAACTTTTCTGAAAACGTTTCTATATAGCACTAAAAAGGGTTCTTCTATTGCGACAATGTCAAGCTTGTAACAACAGAAGAACCCTTTTTGGTGATACACAGAACAATTTTCAAAAAAGTTCTATATAGAACCATCAAAGAACCCTTTAATCACACAAAGCGTTCTTTAGTAAAGAAAATGGTTCTAGATAGAACCATGTGAACACTTAAAGAACCCTAGAAGAACCTCATTTATTAAGTGTGTTGTAACAACAGCAGAACCATTTTTGGTGCTATACAGAACCATAAACACAAACTCCATCAATCTAAAGAATAATTTCACCATGCAAAGAACCATTTAAGCTTGAAATGGTTCTGTAAAGACCTCCCTCCTTTTCTTAAGAACCATCTTTTTTAAGGGTCTGATCGGACTGAACGATTAATAATTTTAAATCAAAATTGAAAATCAAAATACAGCTGCAATTTTAATTTTAACCTACTTTCGTATTAATAATAAAGTTTTAAGTTGGGAACTTCAACCCAATGACACAGAGTTCATAAAACAGCTGTAGCACAGCTGGACCAATCAGAAATAAGCAAACACCCATGTGCTGTGACATCACAACCACAACTAACTGGCAGTCTGGCTCAGTACATTCAACGCTGAGTACTCAAGCTGGAAAGCGTCAATATGTTGATGTCAATATGTTAATAAGCACAATTTAAAAGGCAGTCAAAAATCTTAATTTAACGCAAGTTAATAAGGTGCTGATTAGATTAAGCAGCTACTGGATGATAACTACCAGCAATACTGAACTTCCTTGTGTCAAGGAGAGGGCAGAAAATGGTTAAAATAGCACATTAACCTACAGTACTATTAACTTTATTATACGTTTTTATTCTAGATTTGTCAAAGTTGACGTTAAATTAATAAATTATTAACACCACTATTTTCTGAAGTGCAGTTGCTGCTTTTTCCAAGTTCAAACCATCTATAGTTCCAGGTTGAAGCCCAGCTGCAGGGCACCGTATTTATTATTTTTTTTTCCTCCATATGCTGTTGCCACGACACTGCGTCTTTTTTAGTGTCTCTAAATTCTTTAAATAACGACATTTTTAAATGACAAGTTCCTTTATGGCTCTCTTGAAAGAAGCTCCGGTTCCCCTCCAGATCCTCCAATGTAGCAAGAAACTACGAGCTGAATGAACGAGCGCGAGAGGCTACAACGCAGGGAATCACTGACCGTATATGATTAGACTTGATGTATAGAATCATTGACTGTATACATTATATGATATATACACTTACTAAGAGTATGATATATATGATTTATACAGTCAATGAGTGTAGATTCACTGTACGTACACACAATCTATCTATCTATCTATCTATCTATCTATCTATCTATTTTTACGGTCGATGAGTATATATGATATACACCGTGTCCCAAAAAAATTGACATCATTTCATTGTCTAATAGCAGCCAATTCTCCCTCAAATGATCTCAAATTTGAATAAAATGTGTAAAAACTAACCAAGTTTAATTTTTAATGTTTTTTTTTTCAGGTTGAAGAACGGCATTAGCTAGAAATGAAAAGGCATTTTGTGTGTTAGAATATGCTCGAACACAGTCAAACGAGAGTGAGCAGCAGCATTTTCGAGAAAATTCAATAAAAATGCACCAACTGGAAAGTAGATTTGGACACGGCACAAACAATTCAAAGAGGAAGGCTGTCTGTGCAGCGCAAAGGGGTCTGGACGACCACCAGTATCGGAAGATATTACATTTGTGAAGCTTTGTGGAATCAGTTATAAAATCTACATCCTTCTGAATTTCTTGTTCAAATTTTGATAAATAAATCTTGTGTTGTTCAACATGAAGCCTGTCTAATTTTGTTAATGCCAGGACATGTAATTACTCAGATACTCACATCTCAAATGATGTCAACGTTTTCAGGACACCTTGTAGATTTATTGACTGTATATATATGATATATACGCTCATTGACTGTATATGTGATATATATATATATATATATATATATACCATTTATACAGTCAACGAGTGTACATGATATATACACTCACTGACTATATATATATACACCATATGATATACCATTTATCTCTACTTTTGTCGATTTTTAGTTTTCTACACCATTTTTTATGATGAATGGACCAATAGAAATGCTCTAAAATCACTTGGAATAAAACCTCTGACATTGAAACGTCAGAGTGTTTTTGCCTTCTCCTGTAAAGTTACTATTTTGGAAATACTTGTTCTTCTTTGGACAGTGACGATATGTTATATGCACTCATTGACCGTATATATGATATATACACTCATTGGTTGGAACATGCAAACACGGTTGTTTTCACTGGACGTCAGTAAAGAACACTGAAAGCTGTGTTCACTCTGTGGCGATCATGTGATCTTCATGTTCAGGTTCTGCGTTCAAAATAATGAATTACCGGATAGTAATAAATACGTTCTGATGAAGCTTATTTTGTCCACTCATACAGCCATAACACAACGTACTGCTTTATAAATGGAACAAGTCTTTCTTTAGGGTCAAATCTGAGCAATTAAGACAAGTGCGATTAATCACAATGAATTATTTTAATCGTTTGACATCAGTGCTTTATGAGAAAATGAACACTTACTGTCCAGATAAACTGCTTTTTAAATATAATGTTGCCAGGTGGCTGAAACATTTGCGCAGTACTGTATATGAAGGTTAAAGTGTTTGAGTATTTAAACTCATCCAGTGTCTTTACAGTCTCTCTCATACACGCTATAAGGGTTGCCAGATCCTCTGCTCTGCATGTCCTTAAGACAGAGAGGGGGTGTGTGTGTGTAAGGCCATCCAAAGTCTTTGCTGCTGTGTTGTGTGTGTGGGTGTGTGTTCAGCCCATGTTCTTGCGGTTGCCATATCCTCTCCGGTGCGTGTCCTTCCAGTTGTCCCAGTCTCTGGCCTTCTGTAAGGCCTCCTCATCATCCTCCTCCTCTCTGCGCTCTTTCTCCTCCCTCTCTCGCTCCTCTGCATCCACATCCGCTATGAAAACACATTACAGTGAAGAGACAGCAGGTGAACAAACAACAAAAATAACAATAATGGGTATTAATATATAAATTACATTAAACAATAACTAAACTAATTAAAAAGATAAACAAAGAAATTAAAAGCTGAATTAAAGTAGTTTTCAAATCAGGCTGCAGTAAATACACGTGAGGTTCCATAACAGGTGGGTGTGTGTACCTGCACTCCGGACAGGTGGGTGTATTCACCTGTACTCCGACCAGGTTGGTGTATGTACCTGTACTCCGGTCAGGTAGGTGTATGTACCTGTACTCTGGACATGTAGGTGTATGTACCTGCACTCTGGGGTATTCCTTGGTCAGGTAAGCATCCTTTTCTCCTGTGCTGTTCATACCAGTCATCCACTGTCATTGTGGGAAGGCTTGGGTAACCTGCTCCAAATACCCTGAAAGAGAAACAGATTCAAATTAGTAAATAGCTCAGGGGCACAGCTAGAGTTTGAACCACCCCCCTCCTCAAAATAACCTTTAAATTAAACCACTTTGTGCCTTTATCAGACCCATAGTCACTGCCGTATCATTTTAGGGTCACACTGAAATATTTTCCACCATCATCGACAACTGACAGACTTTGTTGACAGACACACAAACACGTACTTGGCCTGTACAGCATCTTTAGTTAGAATGAAGGGCTTCATTGGGGGTCTTCTTGGATGAGGAGGTTGAGCTGGACTCTGAGGAAGAAAGAGAATTTCATAACTGCAGATTTATAGGAATCCAGAATAAGTGACTAAAATAAGATCAGTTAAGCAGCTCATATTAATGCTGTTCTCTCAGACTTTGTGTGAACATAAAGCAGAGATTTAGTTCCGGGTGATATATAATTTATATTAATATTGGTGTAATGCAACATTACGAGTTTTAGAAATACTGACAGATGTTTTTAAAGAGCTTTTTAAAATCCATAACAACTAAATAAACACTAAGCTTCCTTTCTGTAAATGTGCCTTCATAATGCAAACTATTGAATTTGATTAACACAAACACAATAATTTTATATATGTTAACTCATTAACATAATTTATGCTAACTTTACTAAAGCAAAATGTATTAACTTTTAATTTATGAGCTCATGACCTTAATTCCACTTTATTTATTAATGCTAACTCGTTAACTTCTTTGATGCTAACTTTACTTCATTTATGATAACTTCTCATACTAACTAATTTTTTTAATGCAAACTTTTCTTTATACATACTAACTTTTTATCTTCATTAATGCAAATGTTTTAACTTTATTGTTGCTAATTTGTTAATTTATTATTTAATTAGCTTATCATACTAATTAATTAACCTTATTAATGCAAACTTATCTTTATTAATACTAACTTTTTATTTTTACTAATGATAACTATCTTCACCAATGCTCTTTTTTACTTTATTAATGTTAACCATCATACTAATTAACTTTATTAATGCTCTTTATTAGTGTTTTTATCTTTAATAACACTAGCTTTAATAATGCCAGCTCGTTAAGTTCATTAACGCTTCTTGTCTTTATTAAGGTATGAGATCATTAGCTTTTTTTTTAAATCATATTTATCACTTTTACTTAGACTAACTCAAACTTCATTAATCTATGTTCTCATTAATATTTTTAATAAACTCAACTTTATTACTGCTCAGGTTAAATTATCTTTACTGTCGCTGCCTGAATTATCATTTGATACTGAGATGACAAATTTATACATTATATATTATATGTATAATATGATGCTAAACTGCAGAAACACTGCAGCGCTGCAGGGACTGTTAAAGGACCTGTTTGAGAACATCCATCCTCTTGAGGATCTGTATCTCCTGATCGATGGAGTCAATCTCCTCGATGGCGATGGTGATCCACCTGCGCACCTGCAGCAGGTAAAAGTCCCTCAGCACCTCATCATCCGCAAAGCCGCCGTCCACCGCAACGCGCAGCTCCGCCAGCTTCGCCTCCGCCTCCTTACGCTGCTTAAACCTGGAAGATTTTGAGACATTTTCACCATATGTAATTTTTTTAACTGCTATTTTATTTACATTAATGTTTTAATATAGTCATTATATGCATTGCATATTTCACAATGCATGATATTAATCACAATATTTAAACAATTTCGCAACTGCTATAAAATATAACTGCAATACTAATATTGTGTCAATAAAAATCTAACCGGCTCAGTCATTTCACCCTGAAAGAGGAACTAAACCTCTGCAGAGACAAAACATAAACAGGCCATTCAAATTTCAATTATGATAAGTCACACAGGGTTTAATTCTGCATACAAACCTCTGTATATGAGACCTATAAGATACATTATATAGCCAATAGTATGTAAACACTCCTCCTATTAAGTGAATTCAGGTGTTACTGCCACACCCATTGCTAATAGGTGTATAAAACCAAACACATAGCCATCCACTCTCCACAGACAAACACTGGCGACAGAAGTGGTCACCAGTTTGTGAAATTTCTTTCCTGCTAGGTCTGCCCGTCAACTGTAAGTGCTATTATGGTGAAACGAAAGTGTCAGCTGGAGCGGTATAAAGCGCTGGACTCTGGAGCAGTGGAAACGTGTTCTCTGGAGTGATGAATGAGCTTCTCTATCTGTCAGTCTGATGATGAATCCGGGTCTGCCAGAAGAACGTTACCTACCGGAATGCAGAGCCAACAGTAAAGTTTGGTGGAGGAGGGATGATGGGCTGTGCTGTTTTCTCAGGGTCCCTCAGTTCCAGTGAAGGGGGATGTTGATGCTACAGCACAAAGGCATTTTACACAATTCTATGCTTCCAGCTTTGTGTCAGCAGTTTGGGGAAGAACCTTTCCTGTTCCAGCATGACTGAGCCCCAGTGCACAAAGCAGCTCCATAAAGACATGGTTTGAGGAGTTTGGTGTGGAGGAACTCCAGTGGGCTTCCCCGAGTCCTGACCTCAACCCCATCCAACACATTTGGGATGAACTAGAACAGAGATTATAAGCCAGACCCTCTCGTCCAACATCAGCGTCTGACCTCGCAAATGCTCTTCTGACTGAAAGGGTACAAACTCCAAAATCTTGTAGGAAGCTTTCCAGAAGAGTGGAGGCTGTTATTGCTGCAAAGGGGGACCAACTCCATGTTAATGTACATGCAGGTGTTGATGGTCGGATGTCCACGTACTTTTGTCCATATAGTGTATCTTCCATCCCTAATCTATCAGCGGATGAAACACTAGACCTGCTATCATGTATCTAAAGGTGCAGCTTTAAGCTCCAAAAGCTACAACCTCCCAAGGCCTGAATGCTTGTTCAACAACTCAGTGCACAATCAAACTGCATTATTATGATAATTTGGCAGGACATCATACTGACTTCAACACTAACTTTATCCCCCAACCTAATCAGCCACATGACTAGGGCTGTCACAATAAAAGGGTTCCTTGCATGGAGAAATGGTTCTTCAGACTGATGAAGAATGTGTGGTATATTGTTCTATATAGCACCAAAAAGGGTTCTGCTATGATGATGTCAAGCTTGTAACAAAGGAAGAACGATTTTTGTTCTTATACAAAACACTTTTCAAAAAGGTTCTATATAAAACCATATAAAACATACTCCATCAATCTGAAGAACCATTTTTCCATGAAAAAATTACTTTTATCATGCAAAGTGTTCTTGCTGTTCATGCTTCTATATAGAACCGTTTTCTTTACTAAACAATTCTTGAAGTAGTAGGTAACTAAGTAAGGCCCAATCCCATTTCACCCCTCGCCCCTACCACTTAGCTTTTAGCCCTCCTTTTAGCGCATTCACATCTAGGGGTAGGGTGTCCCGATTCTTGTTGAGATAGAGGGGTAGGGTGAAGTGTTGGGGCTACAAGACCCCCCAAACAGAGGCTTTTCAGACTCCAAACGGAGTGTTATGGAAAAAAAAGAAAAGGATGGAGCACAAGAGACCAAAGAAACCCAGGATAAACCTACGATAAACATCTTAGTTTAATGTCGTTTCAAAGTATTATGGTACTTTTCTTCATAACAAGCATGAAAAAAGGCAGACAGCTATTTTCCCGTTCCACCTTAAATAGTCCAGCAGTTCTGACGCCTGAATCACCAGAATGTAACTGCTACACCATTTAAGGTGGAACGGAAAAATTCTAACAAGAAGCTGGTGAATATCTGACTTCAGCTTCATATCACTGAAGAATTAGGGGTGGGTGATAATAAATAATTGCCCCCTCTTTGAAGGCATATGATGCCCTAAATGTAACTAAAGCCCAGCAGTGAGGAGCTGAACTTTACCCTCCTCTGCTGTCACTGCAGACTGGCAGGGTCGCCTACAGAGCAGCGCTGGTAGCTGATAATGAAGTGATGCTCTTTTTATTTGAGGGTCCCATTTCAGTGGGAGGATTTCAACCACTACCCTGTAACTCAGTTCTAAGGGGCAAGGAGACACTCAAAAACAAGGGGTAGGGGTAGAAATGAGAATTGGGACTGGGCCTAAGTCTACCACATTACATTACCACTGTATTACATTACTGTCATATCTGTTAAGTAAGGCTGCCTTATTTTCCATTCAATAAAGCCTGATGGGTTGTTTATACTCAAAGCAATGCTGTGTTTGATGTTTTCATGGGTCGTGTTCATGATTTTAGGGTTGTCAGTTAACAATTAATCACATGCTAAAAAAAATCAAAGACTTTGTGACAAATATGAATACATGAGCTTAAATTAGCTACACACTGTCTGACATTCAAACTGTTCACTGGCCATCGCTCCCATTACTCGTTAGCTACATTGCCCTCGCAGCTCCAGCGCTAAAACTCGGCTGATCAGCTACATTTAGGTTTAACTGTGTTTTGTGCTGTAAACACTAAAAGCACTTCGGCTCACCTCTCGATCTTGGCTTGCCTCTGTGTTGCCATGGCGATGAGGTCAGGCTGCTGGGGCCGCGGGGCGGGGACCGGAGAGTCTGACTCCGCCTCCGTGGGCGTGGCCTCTGCGCCCTCGCCGTCCGCAGGCATGTGGAAGCTGCCGATGCCATAATCTTTACACCTGCGCAGGAAGTCCAGGAAGTGTCGGCGGGCTTTCTGCACGTGCTCCAGCCGCTGGGCCGCGTTCACCTGCTTCAGCGTCAGCGCCGCCAGCAACACCGGCAGCAACAGGTACTTCAGGTCGGCCGTAGCGATCTCTTCCAGCTCTTCGTTACGGCTACGATACGGGCAGAGAAAACACAAGCATACAGTCTTCAACACCACGAAAACCACACTGCAAGAGCGGAACTGCGCCATCTGCTGGCGGCGTTCAAAGTGTGTCTTCACTGGGCCATTTTTGGCAACTAGTCATGCACTGAAATTATTTTTTTAATCTTCCTATATCTTTGGGGTCAGTATGACTCATGTTCAATGTTTAACATCTCTAAATAAATGACTGACACATTTTTTCGGTTCATATTTTTCATTTTTTTTAATTTAATAGGGACAACTGGGTGTTCCTTGAGGTCAGTTTGACCCCAGACTGTTTTAGCTGTATAAAACAAGAAATATCAACATTTTACACACATTTGTTTTCATTGTCTTGGATGATACTGAGGTCACTATAACATACAATTTTATATACTTCATAAAACTTCCCTCTGCTTTAAAGCCCTACCTAACCCTAGTGTGAGAACCACTGATAATTCACACCACACTGGGGCGGGGAGCAAATTTCCCACCACAACTGTGATATTTCCCTTAGGTTGAAACTGCTGGGGTCAAATTGAGCCCAAAATGTGTCAATAAATTTGAGAATAACAGGAGCAGTGAATAGAAACTTACAACACATGTCCTGTTTTGAACGTATATGGTGGTAAATTGTCTTCTCTGATTCTCTGACTGTTTACTTCAAGACTGGGCAATATGACAATTTATATTGTTATTGCAATAAAGTATGTCACAATACAAGACAATATGCCCACATACTGTGGATCCTGTCAGTGCTTGTAGACACTGACCAGCTGTGTGTTTCATTATAAACAGGGACCTGTTTAACTGGATTTTGTGCCAAATACTGAATAAAAATCATTGTGTTCAGGTTCTTTTTTCTCTGTTCCCACTGAAAAAATATTGTGAAAATTGTTAGTATTGTGATATTATATTTTTGCCGTATCGCCCACCTCGAGTCTTAGTTACAGTGTGAACTAACCCCCCCCCAGCTAATCACAAACACGATGAAAGAAGTTAATTTTATGGTAAAAAAAGAAAAAAAACAAAACAAAAATAAAAAATAAACAGTATTTGGGGCAAATCTGGAGAAATATCTGTCTGATCAATGTGAAAATTGGGAGGTGATGCTGCTATGAGAACATGAGAAGATGACCCAAAGCATGTTCTCCTGGAACCTGTTTAACTACATTAAATATAATATAAATATTATGTGACATTTGTCTCTGCTCTCCCCTATTTAGTCCATGTTTATATAGCTACATTAGCCCTGTAGCTCCAGTGCTAAATCTGAAGAAGCACATTTCAGATCTTTATTTATGATAAAACGGCTAAACTGAGTGAATTTCGTTCTTTACTAAACTGGTCCTTTAAAAAAACGTATTACCACAATGATAAACCCATTAGCAGCTGTGCTAACTAGCTAGCTTACTTCCACAAAACACATTAAAAAGCTTAGTATGACTATAAAAAGGTCCACGCTTGGAAAAGCAGACAGTGTTGTCTTTTGCTTTTTTACAAGAAATATGTCAGAAATCCGTACTTACACTGTTTATCCTAAAATAAAGCAATAATTGGTCTTCTGATTAGCGAGCGGTTATGATCGGCGTCTAAATCTATGACGAAAAAAATCTTTAGTGTTCAGATTAGTACATTAATAGATTAATACGGCATCTTTTTAGCCGCAGATCATTTTTATGGCCCGTAAAAAACAAAAAAAAATGTAAACGCAGTTTGTTTACGACGCTGAAGCTGCATCTCTTTCGAACTCTCCGTTCCACCTTAAAATGAGCGGCAGTCATAGTAGGGCGTCAAATGCGCCACAATGTAACTGCCGCGCCATTTAAGGTGGAACGGAGAGTTGCTGTTTTTTTTCTCGTTTTTTTACCTGAAGAGGTCCAACTGCTCCACCATGCTAAGCGCCTCCTCCAGCTGCTTGATGCCCCGCTTCACCTTCACCTGGACCGGGTTGGATCCGCTGGGTTCCGAGGTGTTTTCCACCTCTTCGTACAACTTCCATCCGCCATCTAGAAGCTCAGAGAGCCGCGGAGCTTCAGCCTCTCCTTCAGCACCGGCCATCTTTCTCCTCTTCAGCGGCGGGATTGGTCCTTAGCGGCCCCCGTCTCTAACCGTCATCATTTCCGTTCCGCTTTTCTTGGCTGTAGTTTCATGTTGTGGCCGCCGAGCGGCGACAAATGGCAAGGCGTTGTGGCTTTTAAAGGGCAAGTCCAGTAATATTTCTACATTTCTTAGAAAAGTCTTCATTTCTTAAACTACCTTTTATCCTTGGGAATAATTTGAACCCATTCAGTGTTTGGTGTCTCTAAATAAATCATTGACATAATTTTTGCTTTATATTTATTTTTTTTTCTAATTTAATGTGGACAACTGGGCAAACATAAAATTTACATGATGTGTTTTTAATCCCTGCTGAAACAAGACCATTAGAACCATTAGAATTAAAGCCTGGTGGGGCTTGGCTTAATGGTTACCATTAGAGACCACTAGATCTTATTATGAAACCATTAAATGCATCTGGAATCAGAACATTCTTCTGAGTTTATATGGAATGTTGATGATGGAAAATAGTGGAAAATCTGAAACAATAAGTTTTCTTTGGGGACTATTTTGCCTCACAGCGCCCTGCATGTATCCCTCCACCAAGAATGGAGTTTAAGTTCTCAAAACTATCATAAAACAGTGTCTCAGTCATCAGGCAGTGAATTCATAACCATTTCATGTAGTAATTTTCTGTGAGGGAGCTTTTAGAGGTGGACGTCTGGTTCCTATCACCACCACTGTGGACAGTTCTGACTCGAGTCTAGAGCTAGAGCTAGAGTCTCTCTTTATTCATCCATTCATTCATTCATTCATTCATTCATTCAACACACAACCTACAGCAGCTAGTCTCTCTTTATTCATTCATTCATTCATTCCAACACACAGCCTACAGCAGCTGGAGTCTCGCTTCATTCATTCATTCATTCATTCATTCATTCATTCATTCATTCCAACACATAACCTACAGCAGCTAGAGTATCTCTTTATTCATTCATTCATTCATTCCAACACATAACCTACAGCAGCTAGAGTCTCTCTTCATTCATTCATTCATTCATTCATTCATTCCAACACATGACCTACAGCAGCTAGAGTATATCTTTTTTCATTCATTCATTCATTCATTCCAACACACAACCTACAGCCACTAGAGCCTCTCTTTATTCATTCATTCATTCATTCATTCATTCCAACACACAACCTACAGCAGCTGAAGTCTCGCTTCATTCATTCATTCATTCATTCCAACACATAACCTACAGCAGCTAGAGTATCTCTTTTTTCATTCATTCATTCCAACACACAACCTACAGCAGCTGGAGTCTCTCGTCATTCATTTATTCATTCATTCATTCCAACACACAACCTACGGCAGCTAGAGCATCACTTTATTCATTCATTCATTCATTCATTCATTCCAACACACAACCTACAGCAGCTGGAGTCTCGCTTCATTCATTCATTCAACACACAACCTACCGCAGCTAGAGCCTCTCTTCATTCATTCATTCATTCCTTCAATCTAACACACAACCTACAACAGCTAGTCTTCAGTCATTCATTCATTCATTCATTCATTCATTCATTCATTCCAACACATAACCTACAGCAGCTAGAGTCTCTCTTCATTCATTCATTCATGCATTCATGCATTCATTCATTCCAACACATAACCTACAGCAGCTAGAGCATCTCTTTATTCATTCATTCATTCATTCCAACACACAACCTACAGCAGCTAGAGTATCTCTTTATTCATTCATTCATTCATTCATTCATTCATTCCAACACAACCTACAGCAGCTAGAGCCTCTCTTTATTCATTCATTCATTCATTCCAACACACAACCTACAGCAGCTAGAGTATCTCTTTATTCATTCATTCATTCATTCATTCCAACACACAACCTACAGCAGCTAGAGCCTCTCTTTATTCATTCATTCATTCATTCATGCATTCATTCATTTATTCATTCATTCCAACACACAATAACAGCAGCCGGAGTCTCTCTTCATTCATTCATTCATTTATTCATTCATTCATTCATTCTAACACACAACCTACAGCAGCTAGAGCCTCTCTTCATTCATTCATTCATTCATTCATTCAGGTGTAATACACTCCTACACATATATGTTTACAGTATAAATACTGAACATTAAACTAAATCGCACATTCACTCCTTCACACACTCCGACAGTCAGAGCGGTTTTTATTCCTGAGTTTATTTTTTTCTGTCCCCCCCATAGACTGACTAGGTCATGACCTTTTACCCTGACCTTTAACCTTTCCACCTGCACTACGCACACTTTCAACCCAGCGGCTAATGGAAAACACACACAGACCCAATCTGCACCCCCCCACTCACACACACACATACACACACACACACACACACACACACACACTGCTACAGTTTAAAAATCTAATGTACATAGTTCTCCCTTTAAACCAATGTACTTTAGTAAAGCTAAACACATTAACAGTAGCCTCACTTGTGTTTGTACTTCAGTCCATGTTTACAGATTAACTGCTTTATCAGGTCTATTAGAGATTACTGAACAACTCCACACAGTTTGAGACAAGACATGCAGTTAACGATGCTAATGACATTATTTGTTAGCTACATTAGCCTTGTAGCTCGATTGCAATAGCAAATTTTAGATGCCAAACAGGTTATTTATTTTTTTAGTTTAAAATATTACTCTCAAACAATATAATTGCTAATGTCTAAAATAATATTCTCTGTACTACAGTTAGTAGTACAGTTTAACTCACACTCCTTCCATAATGTGATGTATTAGTGAGTGAAACACTGTATACAGGACAGTATCTGAGCTAGCTAGGTGAGGAAGGTGGAACAAAGGACCACAGTGTGTTCAAAATGTTCTACATGTTAATTTTAGAGTGTTACTTCTGCAGCATTTATTTGCTGCATTATTCTAAAAGGACTCTTATTATGAAGGCAGGGCTAGCTTGCTGGCTGTGTACTGTTAGATTACTACTAGACTAATGCTAACAGCAGAGGAAGCAAGACACAGCAAGGCTTAGAGCGAATTGTTAGACAAAGCTCTCTTTGTGTCCGGTGTGGATGTGGCCGACTACAGCCGATTAATAAATCACAACGACTTGTGCATCAGCTGTGTGTCTTCTTCCAAAGTGGTGAATACTACAATATTGTGCTGCATTCAGATGCTCTTTGGAAGGTTTTATACTAGATGTTTAACTAGTAAATAAATAAAGTAAATGTTTTACTAGTAAATTTAAACTCTGTTTCAAATTTGTTCAAAGATACATTCACCTCTGCATCACTTGCATTGCTGCAAGTTTAATGCTTTTCACTCATTAAAAAGGTGAAAGGTGATGGTATAATTCACATCTTGGGAACTCATGTATCATCTATAATCCAGAATTTATTAGCTATAAATACAGACTTGTCTGCTGTTCAAGCACAATTTACAGGTGGAAAAATTGGTATTTCCAAGTTTTCAACACCACTCAAATGCAGCATTGTTGATTGAGAGAACCTAAATCCATGTTTTCTTTCTAAATAGGTTAATGTTGCTCTTGTAGGCCACAATATACCTGTACAAAGTATATCTTGTGAATAACTTTCCAATATCTGCTGAATGAGTGATGTATTTTGTCAACATTCTCCTCTTTCGATGTAAATTGGGTGGTCCTAATCTTGCGTCATGCAAATGTGAGCAGTATCCTCATTAATTACATGGCTGAGAATGAGAGAATCTTACAAAGAGAAAGCTAACCACCAAGCAAAAGCTATCCACCAAGAGAAAGCTAACCACCAAGAGAAAGCTAACCACTAAACAAAAGTTAACCACCAAGGGAAATCAACCCTCAAGCAAAAGCTTACAACTAAGTTAAAGCTAACCCAGCAAACCTAACTAGACCATTCATCCATTCATTTGTTCATCCGACCCCTCCGGCATTCCCTGGATGCAGAACCAGCAGTAAAGTGAATAAGAACCTTCTTTAAGGTTCTTCATATGAAAGCTGGATGATGTTTTTAGTGAGTGAGAAGTGAGTTTCTTCCCAGCATGCAGTGGGCTTTGTTTCTGATTCAGCCCACAGTGACCACCGTCAACTACACCAGATTTAGCATGGAACAGTTAAAGAGGCATGCGAGGTATTTGCTATGTGTGTGTCTTACCCCCCAGGTTGAAAAACCTACAGTGATGAAGCAGAGAACACCAGCTTGGTCATCAATCTCCCTCTCTCTCTCTCTCATTCACTCGCTCGCTCACTCACTCAGTGGTCACTCAGCTTCCAGAGCTCTTTCAGAAGAACATCTGGACCTTCATACGGACAGTAAAGATGAAACTAGAAAGGTGAAGCTTATGAATGAACTTTGAGTTGTTTATAGTACTTCTAAAGTTACAGCTGTTGCAGAACAGTGTTGGCCCAGGTAGTTGCTATTGTGTTGCTATGAAGGTACTACAAGGCTACATAGTATTCCAGTTTGTTGTCAGGGCACTGCTTGATGGTTGTTGGGCTTGGTTTTTGCTGTAGTATCCCAGGTGGTTGTTAAGGTGTTGTTAGGCCATTGCTATGGTATCCCAGGCGGTTGTTAAGGTGTTGTTAGGCCATTGCTATGGTATCCCAGGTGGTTGTTAAGGTGTTGTTAGGCCATTGCTATGGTATCCCCGGTGGTTGCTAAAGTGAAGCTAACATACCCATGTGATGGCAATATAAGAGGTAGAGGTGTAAGCATTGCATACTATTCGTTTTAAAGAACACTATGCGAACCTGCGTAAATAGGTTAAAAAAGCACAAGCAGCCTTTACAGGTTCAGAAAGGGTTCTTCAAGTGTCTGGGGTTCTATATAGATCCATATACAACACATGATCAATCTGTAGAATCATTTCACCATGCAAAGAATCCTTGAAGCATGCAAATGGTTCATAGAGTGCCCATGGTTCTATAAAGAACCATTGTGTTTACTAAAGAACCCTTGAAGAACCATCTTTTTAAAGATTGTAGTTATGCCACTAAAGTGTATATACAATAGAAGAATCCTTTTTGGAACTATGTAGAACCATTTTCAAAAAGGTTCTTTATATAGAACCATATACATCATCAATCTGTAGGATCATTTCACCATGCAAAGTATCCTTTAAGCGTGCAAATGGTTCTTTGGGTGTTTATGATTCTATATATGACCATTGGCTTTACTAAAAAACTGCTGAAGTGCCATCTTTGTTGAGAGTGTAGTTACACCACTGAAGCTTGTATACAATAGAAAAATCCTTTTGGTGCTATATAGAACCCTTTTCAAAAGGTTCTATATAGAACCACAACCTCCATAAATTTGTAGAACCAGTTCACCATGCAAGGAACCCTTTAATCATGCAAATGGTTCTTTGAGCGTTCATGGTTCTATATAGAACAATTCCCTTTTACTAAAGAACCCTTGAAGAACCATCTTTTTAAAGGGTGCAGTTAAGCCACTGAAGCTTGTATACAATAGAAGAATCCTTTTTCGTCCTATATTGAACAATTTTTTTAAAAAAAAATTCCTGGGAATTGAACTGGGTTGTGTGCGGGAAAATTGTTGAATAAATCTCAGGATTTTAACTCTGGCGTGCGTTCAGACTGAACGCTTTCTAACTTCATTTTAAGAGCACGTGTGAAAAGGCTTGACTTTTGGAATCGAGAACCAGTATTTTGGAATTGACTCTCTGAATCGACTCCATTGATTCCCATCTCTTGGAATCAGAGTCAACTCCAGTCTATTTTACACTTCTTTGCCGCTGGACTGTAAACAGTGTTCTAGAGTGAGTTAAATACAGAACCACATTCCACACATACACACACCAGGTGGAGAGAGAGAGAGAGAGAGAGAGAGAGAGGGAGAGAGAGAGACAGAGAGAGAGAGACAGAGAGAAGAATACACTACTGTGGCGGTTCAGCTGCAGGTTTAGTGATAAGAAAAGCAAACGTGATTTGCATTAATATGAGCTGTGAGTCAGACTGAGTCTCAGAGTGAGTGTTTGAAGTGAGCTGATAAAGTTAATCTCTCTCTCTCTCTCTCTCTTCTCTATGCGTGTCTCTCTCTCGCAGTGGTGTGAATAACTCAGCAGCTGTAATCTCTCCCTGTATTATCTCCACTGTAGATTACACTAATCTCTAAAACCTCTCTTTCTCTCTTTATTCCGTAATAGTGAGATAACAATCAGCCAAATCCTCAAACAAAAGAATCTACAAAAGAGGCTCTCTCTCTCTCTCTCTCTCTCTCTCTCTCTCTCTCTCTATATATATATATATATATATATATATATATATATATATATATATACATACACACACACGTACAAATAGTCATTTTTCTGCTTTTGACAATATTTAAAAATGCCTGTTGCTCTTTACATTGTATGTAAATTTCACAATGAATGGACCAAAATAAATGACACAAAATGACTTGAAAAAAATTCTGGTTCCATTGACTTACATTAAAAGTAAAGTAACCTTTTTGCTTCTCCTGTAAAGTTACCATTTTGGAGATACAAGGTTTTGTTCCAACAGCAGTGATATATTTCTCCCTCTCTCCCCCTCTCTCTCTCTCTCTCTCTCTCTCTCTCTCTCTCTCTATGGTTTGATCTGAATCTCTAATCTGTGAATTGCTGATATCCTGAAGAACTCTTTCATGTTTTCAGGAGGGAGAACTGAAAAGCGACCCACTGCTGTTTTTTCACCTCAAGCATTTTAAATCCGTCCCCCCCAACCAAAACCCCAGCGGGGCCGGGTGGGGCGGGTGCCACATTCACACACTCGTGTGATGTATGTGGCACGTGACCATTAACGACATCAACAGCAGTGCTGAGACAAACAAATAAACTTTATATATAAAATAAATACAGTTACATATGATACAGCAAAATGTACAATATACTCAGCATTTTTACATTTACAGTACAACAACTGTTAAAGCGATAGTCTGTCAGAAAACAACTTACACCTCCCCCCAACCCTTGGGTCAAATGTAGTTGATCAGCCAAAACGTGTTTGATTCTTTAAGTTTTAGCGGTGCAGCTAATGTAGCTAAGAAGCTAACAAGAATCTTATACCCCACTAATTAGCATGGTGCTAACTATCTACCTAAATCACCATGCGCTCGCCTCTAATACTCGCTGACACCGTATGACGCACTGTTATCTATAGTTCTTTAGCTACTTTTTAGCTACGCTAACTTACCTTATAACATGTTTATAGCTAACACAGTCATACAGCATCAGTAAGTCTATTAGCGGTGAGCAGGTGATGATATAGGCACTATGCTAATGGCTAGCTATACACATTACACACTTAAACAAGATGGTTCCTCAAAAGTCCTTTAGTAAAGGCTATTTACAACTATGAATTGTGTATAGAACCTCCTCATGCTCTGCATAGTGACATCGTTCTTCAGATTGATGGAGAATGTGTTTTGTGTATGATTATTTACAGAACCTTTATGAAAGTGGTTCTATATAACACCAAAAAGCGTTCTGCTATTGGTACAAGCTTAACATGGAAACAATAGAGGAACCCTTTTGGAACTATATAGAACTATTTTCAAAAAAGGTGATTGAAAGAACCATATATGGTTAAATGGTCCTTTGTGTGGTGAAATGGTTCTTGAGACTGATGGACAATGTGTTGAATTTTGTTGTAGATCTAAAGAACCAGTCCACCAGGCAAATGGTTCTACACAGAACTCATGGTTCTAAATAGAACCAAACTCGTGGTTCTAAATAGAACCATTGCCTTTACTAAAGAACCCTTGAAGAGCTTAATGGAGGTGTAGGCCTCCATTAGGTAGCTACATTAGCTTAGCTCCAGTGCTTCACACATAAAGAAGCGAACTTCAGGCAGCTAACATGTCTTAGCCGATCAGTTTGGATTTAGGGGGTAAAACTGGGTCAATTTGATTATTTTTTGCCAAACTATCACTTTAAGCAAGAGACATCAGTGATAAATAAATAAAGAAAGTAGTAGCAGACAATGCTACCCCTCCCCCACATCTCTCTTTTTTCCTCTCTCTCTTTTCTCTCTGAGGTTTCTGGAGCAGGTTAATCAGTGTTTGTGTCCTTGTTGTTTCCACCTCTGGAGTTTCAGTCTGACACCTCGGCCCATTGTCTCTCGCCCATCCTATTGTTCAGTCTATTCACCCAGGAATCTGAGTCTTTCATCACTCTCTCTCTCTCTCTCTCTCTCCAATCTTCTCTCAGTGCTTCACTCTTCACTCCTGTGAGAAATTCCATTCAAATACAAACACACAAAGGCTTCCAAGATGGTTCTCCTCAAACCTCGCATCCGCATCCCAACAAAAAAAATATCCAGTGCTTGCTGCTTCCGCGTGTCCCGATCCCGGGAAAGAAAGGCACTCCAGAAGTTCCCTTTAAACTTTCTAAAAGCTGTGTGTGCAAGATATACACCTTTAGCTAACGTCAGCTAGCCAGGTGTGATCATTTGATCATTGTGTCTGCAAACGATATCGGTAAAACCGCAGTAAATCTCTCGAAAGTAACGTTTCAAGTTAGCTAACATTAAGCAATTTTAATTTAGGCTACCTTAAACTGATAGCAGAGCAGTATGCTGGCTAGCTAAGTGTAGGTTGGCTGATTTTATGTTTAAGTCATATTATTAGTGTATAGCAGCACAGAAAACTAGTTGGCTAAGTGTAGCTTGGCTGTCATCATGCTAAGTTAATGCTAGCTAGCTTATTTTGTCCAGATAGCAGGTCACTAGATAGCCAAGTGAGGCTTAGCTGTTTAGTTAAGCTACATTAACTAATGCTAGCTTAGCCTATTCCAATAGCTGAAGTGTAGCTTGGCGGTTACCAAGTTTAGCCAAGTTAGATAACTTCACAAACTAATTTCAGGTGTGAGAATTCGTCTCCATGTTTGCAAGTGTTTAAAAGGTTTAGTCCATTCCATTTTCCAAAATTAGCACGCCCCACACTTCCTTTAGCAAGTTAGCACTTGCGAGGTACAAAGTTCGGGAGTGTGAAAGAGAAAAATAAATAGAATTGGTTGCAGAAGATTCTGTGTCAGTCTTTTTCTCTCCGGCTCACTTGCAGACGTGTCTCTCCACAGTGTATTGGCATTTCTTGCAGGTGACGTAACAGCACCAGTGATAGCGGCAGTTGCATCGTTCCTCCACCTGCTCGGTGTAGGTGTTGTAGCCACGGCCGCAGCACATTAACCCACAGCTATCGCTGCCACTCGCTGTCTTATTGCACTGCCTGCGGAGAGAAAACACATATACTGACTTTTAGGTGGAGGATAAGTACTAATCGGGAGCTTTACACACTTTCCACTTTGCACAAATTGGTATTGTGGCATTCACACATTCAACATCACACGCCTATTGTCATTTTATCGCTATGTGTGTGCTGACTGCAAACGATATTAGCAAACTACAGCAAATCTCCTGCAAATGTTAGCTTACCATAACCTAATAAGGCAATTACAGGGTGTCTGCAAAGATTTTCTGATTATAAGTGATTCTGATTCTGATTATTGTTTGATTCAAGGAAGTAAATCTAGTTCATTCACCCAAAAGATTCAACTGAAAAGAATTAATTGTTAATTTACTGCAGCTGCAGTTATAGTTTGATGGCTAATGTTTTTCTCCCATGTATCTCTTACAGTGTCATTATGTGTGTGTGTGTGTGTGTATGTGTGTGTGTGTGTGTGTGTGTGTATGTGTGTGTGTGTGTGTGTGTGTGTATGTGTGTGTGTGTGAGAGAAACAGGTGTGTAATGTTTAACCCCAACACTTTCTCAGGTTACTGATGATCTGCTAATGCCTAACCCTAATCCACTCACACTACAGCTCACTGACGGATTAATCGCTCATCAATAACACTGATTGATTAGGACTGTGGATCACACAGAACCGCCCACAGCTGCCAGTGTGTGAGCTGTAGTGAGGCATTAGGCAAAATAATTTAGTAAATTAGTAATTTTGGCATGCAGTTAACACTGAGAATAAGCTCCCATTACTTGTTATATAGATCAAAATCTACAGTTTCTCATTAGGTTGAATGAATAACTGGCTCTAAATGTAGGTATTGTGATATAAACTGAGTCTGTTCTACAGTTTCTTATTAAGTTGAACGAATAACTGGCTCTAAATGTAGGTATTGTGATATAAACTGAGTCTGTTCTACGGTTTCTTATTAAGTTGAACGAATAACTGGCTCTAAATGTAGGTATTGTGATATCTGTTCATGCAGTCTGATCCTGTACATACCTGTCGGTGGTTCCGTACGAGCCGTGCTTGGCGTTGTATGAACAGTAGTCAGGTGAGCTGATCAGGTAGACGAGTTCGTTCTCCAAAACCGGTCTCACCTCCATCTCCCGGGGGACCAGCTGCCTGCGGGACCCCATCTGGCGCGGGACCACCTTAGTGGCTGAAAGGTAGCGGGCCTTCAGCTGAGCCGAAATGTGGCCTACATCCAGCAGGGACTTCCAGCACGTCTTCACTGAGCACGAACCGGAGACGCCGTGACACTTACACCTCGTCTCCAATGCGTCCAGCACTGCCTGCATCAATGATAACACTTATAAACATACAAACCAATCACAGCTAACGTGGCCCATATTTACCAAGCGTTTCAACAATGATCATGGCACATCAATCCATGTAGTCATATTCAATGCTGTGTAAAAGGCATAAACCTAATAATTAATAACCATAAATGTCAATTTGTTATGGGTGACGCTGAATATAAAAAAGTCTTAATTTACTTGTAATATGCTAGGAGGTGTAGGGGGCAGGATTGCTACTACTGTTTCACTGTTTCAGCAATCTGTAATGTTCATATGATCCACACAGTCATTCTGACAGACTGTAATACACTACAGGAAGTGTAGGGGGCGACATGGCTTCTACAGTTTCATTTAAAAAGCTGTACAGTTGTCTATAAAAAGTGTAGAAAAGTGTGTACCACAGCTAAAAGAGTACTAGCAGTCATCTTAGCAGGTTTGTTCCTACATTTCTGTTCGCTCCTTTTAGAGATGATGTTCGGTTTGTACTGGGTGAAGACTCTTACCTGTCTGCCCACAGCGTTATTGTGCAGGTGCATGAGTCTGATGGCTGGGGGTCCAGAACGTCTGCTGTTGAGCGGAGCGTCGGAAAAGGCTGAGCCCATCTGCAGCCCGTATCGAACGTTATCCCCACAGCCCCCCCAGCGAAAATCGGCCGAGGCCTGCTCAGCCGGGGCCGGAGCGCAGGAGCAGCTGGGCAGAGCGCCGGACGCACACGAGCGGGCAATAGAGTGACTTAATACAGCCGCAGAGAGAGAAAACACAAACGCTGATTCACGCGTACCTGAGAGAGAGAGAGAGTTTATTAGTTCTGCTGTTCAATAAATCTGACAAACAAACCATACATTAAAATGAAATGCAATCCCTCAATCCTGTTCACACACACTTTTTCTGCGGCTGATAGTCATTTGAGTTTATTTGTCTCCCAACGGGAAAGTTTGATGAATGTTTTGGCTCATTGGTAGTCAATGTTGGTTCATTGGTAGTCAGTTCCTGATAAAATAACAAAAATAAGAAAAACAGACTAACCTAACATACTTACAAAAACAATGACAAACAAAACAGGTAAACACCAACCAAGATACACAACAAAGCAAAGCAAGCAAACCAGTGTGAACCAAGTAAACACATTAAACCAACGACAATTAATCCAAAACTAAATTCAATAAACCAAACCAAAACAAGCATACCGATTTAAAAGAACAGTCAAAAGAAGGAAACAAATTCAAGAAAACAAAAACAGATTCAACAAAGGCTTAACCCATCCAAACCTTCTGAACCAAACCGCCCAAGCCAAACATACTGAACCAAAAAACCCAACCAAAACAATCCAACCAATCAAACCAAACCTACTGAACCAAACCAACCAAACATACTGAACTAAACCAATCACAGTAAACCTACTGAACCAAACCAACCTAACATACTGAACAAAACTAAACTAATATACTGAACCAAACCAACCAAAACTACTGAGCCAAACATACTGAACAAAACTAAACTAATATACTGAACCAAACCAACCACAGTAAACCTATTGAACCAAACCAATCACAGTAAACCTACTGAACCAAACCAACTAAACCTACTGAACCAAACCAACCACAGTAAACCTACTGAACCAAACCAATCACTGTAAACCTACTGAACTAAACCAACCACACCTACTGAACTAAACCAGCCACAGTAAACCTGCTGAATCAAACCAACCAAACTGACTGAACAAAACCAAACCAAACTAATATACTGAAATAAACCAACCCAATCAAACCAAATCTACTGAACCAAACAAACAAAACCAACTGAACAAAACCAAACCAAACCAACTGAACCAAACTTGCTGAACCAAAAAACAACCTAACCAAAAAAAATATAGTAATCAAACAAACAAACACTCTAGGTGTTGTATCATTAGTAGACAGTCTTACCTTTGGCCAGGTCTGGACTAAAGTTTGGTGCGCTCTGGATGGATGAACAGTTCCAGCGCATGTCCTTGAAGGAGCTTTGGCAGGCTGCTTTGGTCAGATCGGCTGCCTGGACCACGCTGCCCATCAGCTCCAGGTTCCTCCTGCAGAGCTGCTGCTGGTCTGGAGCCAGAGCATGGAGGAGCTTGCAGTGCTGAGTGTGATTCCAACTAGCAGGAACACCACGGGATGCCAGGCCACTGCAAAGCAATCACAGACACCATGAATAACGTAAACAAGGTATATGATCTGCTATAGCATCAACACAAGGCGAACAATGTGTTACAGATGCCAGTATATTAGGTCCACCTGCTGGGAAGCTGGCCATTTTATCAGAAACACCTACTATGTATTGCACTTTGTGTCCAGTTACAAATCGTAGCCCACCTTGTACTGCAGTTTAACAGGCCCTCTCCACACCATTCTTCAGTGGAAAGAAACCACTATAGGACCACCAATGACTAGATATTTGGGTAGTGGTCCATTCTCAGCATAGCAGTGAGACTGACATGATAGTGACATGTAATAAAAATAGCCAGGAGTGACTCAGTAACTGACCATTGATGAAGGATTAGAGGATGTATGATACAAACTGTACATTGACAAAAGAGCTACAGTCTCTAAGTGTAATGATGCTACAAGGGAGAGGTTTCTGATAAAGTGGCCATGGAGTGCCACACAATTTACAATGCCACAATCAAGAAATTTTAGCTGATACTAATTTTAAGTGCCATATTAATAATTGCTGTTAAAACAATGCAAAAAATAGTCTCTCAACAAGAGATTCTATTGTGTTATGTTGTTTATATAGCTTATCGTGCAACTGGTCCCCATAAATAACAAACAATAAACTATATTCAGCCTATTTCACTCAGGCATGTGGCCTATTTTGGCCACTGAGTGACCTCCCTGCCCCCCTTTGCAGACCACAGCACAGTGTGACCTCCACACTTTAGTGTTTTCTTGCTTTAACACTCACATTTTAATCTCATGTAGGACTTTAGAGAGGTCCAATCAGGCATGTGAGCAAGAACAACACTAAAACGTGCAGAACATGAGTGGATGACTGGAGCAAGATCGTTCAAATCTGCACTCTGGCACTGCAAACACTAATAAAAATGGACTTTTCCAGAAAAACACACAGGTTATCTTTGTGAACATGACATATCGATCAATGATGCCTGGATGAATAATAAGATAAGATAAACCAGAATGTATTAACTGATGTTAAATTAATTTTTAGTAATATTTTTCCAATTCAGTGACAAAATTCTCATCATCGCAGCACAAAAATGTTTGGAGATAAATCTGTAAATAATGTTTTTTTCCCCAACTTTTCTCTGCACAATCTGCACATTGTTGTCAGAGGAAGTATCTTAATCCTAATTATTATCGCAACACATTGACAGCCAAAATATTGTTTGGGTTCACATTCTTACAGTTCACATGGAAAATATTAAAGAGATTCAACAATTAAAAGCAATACAGACACATTTTTTTCTAATAAAAAAAGCAAAGAATGATCATTTTCAGTGATGAGGAATAGATAGGTGGCTATTTTGCAGTAATGAGCATTGGGATTTTAAAAAATCAAAAATTTGAAAATAAAAAAATTACAAACTAAAACTAAACTGTAAACTGACTGCAAACACAAACTAAAGTGTAAGGAAAAACCAAAGTAGAGAATAATCAAAAATTTCAAATACAAATAAAACATCTGAAATTCTGAATCAAAACTAAACTACAAATAAAAACTGAATTCCAAATCAAAACTAAGCCACATAACTAATTTAGAAATCACAACTAAATTACCAACAATTAAAGTCCAAATAAAAGCTAAAATATAAACAAAAATTAGTATCAAAACTAAATTCCAAATACAAACAAAACATCAAATAAACGCCAGCAATGTAAACAGTCAGTGATCCTCAGCAGTAAAGAGTGAAGAGAGTCTTACAGCCAGTATATTCCCTCTCCTCGCTGTAGCTGCAGCAGTAGTTGCAGCAGCAGTAGGGGGCGCTGTAGCCACAGATCCGCACTTCTCCACATTTTTCACGTTCAGCTCGAAGCTTAAGGCGCTCCACTTGGCCGATCACGCGCTTATATACCTCACCGCGAGGCCCCGCCCCTCAGTAACGCTGCATGTGACCAGCAGGGGGCGCCATAACAGCAACTGTGACATCCACAGAACTTTAACCCCCAAAAAGTGATATGTCTGTTATTTAAGTGCAACTGCAAACAAACAAAAAAAATGTGTTTGCAACAACATTGCCTTCCCTTTTAAACGTTTGTGCAAATGAGAGCAAAATTATTACGAGTGTACACAAAATTATTTCAAGGAAACAAAATTATTGCGAACTTATTGAAATATTATTGGTATTATAATTATTTTAACCACTGCCTCTTAGGGGGTTTTGTATATTTTAAAGGTGTCCTCAGAATAAACATATAATACACAAAACTTTCCAGTTTTCCATTTGGGGAAATCAATGTTAGCATTTGGAGAGTTGCTAAGCTTTAGCTTTTAGCCCGACAGTCTCAGGCTACTCGTTTCTCTCATATAAAAGTCCCTTGAATGTTTTTGGTGCAGCTTTTTAATATAACGTCTATAAAAGTGTGTGTAAAATAGTGATTTTAAAGTTTGGCTGTGTGGTTAAAGCTCTTCAGGCCGCAAGGCCGGCAGAGACAGCGCTAACTTGTATGCGCATTTCCAACAGAAACCATCAGTCCTGCTCCTCTCTTTTGAAGCTTTTCTTCTGGAACTGGATCAACAAGGTGCTCATTTGCATTTGAATCTTCTCGGCACTTCAGCTAATCCGGATTCCTGAGCCTAATTAACATCAGGAGTGGATGATGAGCCCATAGCACACTGCAATGCTGGGGTGTTTTTCTATGGCCAGTGTTGCAGACTCTGCCAGGAACTCGCTTTAGGAACAAACTGAATAATATCTCTGATCAGTATCTGTATTATAACTTTGATATAAGTAGAGTACATTGTTATCACAAGGTTAGTAATACATATTATATGTTTAATTACTGGTCAGTTGTTTGTTTTTAATGTGACGATGAATGTATTGGTGCGCAGAACTAAAATCTTCCAGCGAAACAGCGACATTCACAGGCAACCAGGGGTATTACACGCATAAACACAGGCGGACTCCGTTAAACTGAACTGAGATAAACTGTTTTCCCAAATTTACATTTTAAAGTACAACCCAAACGAACAAAACCGAGCCATACAAACAGATAAAACCCAAAATAAAGAACAGAGAGAACGTTTTACTCTTTTAAATGCACATATTTCGAGGCATCTCAACGCGCTGGCTCGTTGGTCTAGGGGTATGATTCTCGCTTAGGGTGCGAGAGGTCCCGGGTTCAAATCCCGGACGAGCCCTGCTTTTCATTTCCCTCCAGATGCACTGTGTATATATAGACTTAACCTGTTTAACTTTATTCAGCGTTACTAGAAACGTAATAAACACACAGATAATGGAGGCAACAAAGGCGGCCAGGCATAACAGGCACTTTCCACGATTAGAGTTCAGTTTCTGTCTGATTACCTTTTTAATTATTTCTGTACTTCTGTACAAAACACTTAAAATGTTTAAAATTGTGATTTTTGGCTGTCCCAGCTCACTGACATTGAACTTCTCTATGAAATATGTTCATTAAAAGATTCCAGTAGCACCATCATTATTACATTGTTATTTGGTTAATTTCCAAGTAATTTCATTTTCCTTATTAATGTATTTAATTTAATAAAAAAAAATGCTTTATCTGTGCCCTGCATCCCTGCTACCCAAACCTGCTCTCCCTATTTAAAAAAAAATGGAATATTAATTTAATTATGATTTACATGAATTTGCATTATGTAGTTGTTTTCTGCAAAATATAATCTTATTCTATTTCTCATTATCTCATTTTCCTTCAATGCTGTTACCAAAATGATTGCTATAAAAAATAATATATATTCATATTTTTTAATTTATGTAAATATCTATTTACATAAGTTATTTTATATAGTTATTATTATATATACCTATATAGTTTATATAGGTATTGAGACATTTTTGGTGAAAGCGGTGGAAAATGTCATTTTCTGAAAGTGAAGCTCAAAAAAAAATATATATATATATATATATATATACATATATATATATATACATATATATATATATATATATATATATATACATATATATATATATATATACACAATGTACATTATTCATAGACTGTGCCAATTGTTGATTAGTTGATTAAGTTGTTTTAGTTCAGGGATTATTATCATTTTCCACCTGAAGGCCCACCTGTTTATCACTAGAACACATGAAGGCCAACAGGAACAAAACTTTATTATTATAAGTATTGGGTATTTTTACACCAAGCCACTCTTAAAATTTGGAAAATTGATGGAGTTGCCTTTTAAGTGCAAACTAGTATTGTAGTATTGTAGTTTTAGTAGAAGTAGCAATAATAATCATCATCAAATTCATAGAGCACCTATCAAAATACTGTAAAAACAAAGATGAGCAAAGCATTTTAGAGGTAAAACATTACAGTAGTCAGTCATTTGTAATTTGATTGACTTTTTTAAGCAGCACAATTACAGACTATAGGAATTAACGAGGCTCCTGTCAGTCGGTCAGACAGTCAACCTGAACTGACCGGCCTGCTCTGCTACTGTAATCTACAAAACAGACTCTACCTGCTTTTGAGAGACAATACACATAAACTCCCCCCACCCCGACGACCCACCACACATTAAAGCAAATCCTCTTCCACACGCCGTCCACCCTGAAGGCCGGGAACGCATCCTGTGCGCTGTGAGTGCAGGATGTAGGTATTGATATGGGCGAGAGAGACAGAGGTGAGAGAGGTGAGAGGGGCGAGAGAGGTGAGGAAACTCATGTTTGTGAAAGAAGGCCAGTCTAACCCCTCAGCAATCCACACAATAAACAAACACATGCAAAGTACAGGCAGCTACTGCACTGTTACACCCACACGGTGTCACAATAAGACCTGGACACCTCTCCACTGTCAGGACAGACACCTTATATCTCTGCTTTTGTCAGATCAGTTGATTGTCACATGATGAACGGACCAATAGAAATGATCCAAGCTTTTAATTAAATGATTTTACGTTAACCTACAACAGAAATGAATTCAGTTCAGTTAAATTAGAAATTTGAAAAACTGCCATGATCGTCGTCACAAATCTGGGTCCTCACAGAAAGTTATTCCATGAAATGGTTATGAATTCACTGCCTGACGTCTGAGACACTGTTTTATGATAGTTTTGAGAAGATTTAAAACATATACTTTTAAAATCCATTCATAGTGGAGAAATGCATTCAAGGCAAAATAGTCCCCAAAGAAAACCTATTATTTTCAGATTTTCCACTATTTTCCCCATCATCAACATTCCATCTAAACCCAGGAGACCTGTGTAGGTTCACTGGCGGTCTTCAGTAATTCTTACACCAATGAATGATACACTATATGGACAAAAGTATTGAGACACACCAATCAATTAATCATTGAATTCAGGTGTTTCATTCAGTCTCGTTGCCACAGGTGTATAAAATCAAGCACCTAGCCTTGCAGCCTGCCTTTACACACATTAGTGAAAGTCTGATGGACGAGTCTGGGTTTGGCGAATGCCAGGAGAACGTGACCTGCCTGACTGCACTGTGCCAGCTGTAAAGTTTGGTGGAGGAGGGATGATGATATGGGGCTGTTTTTCAGGGGTTGGTCTAGAACCCTTAGTTCCAGTGAAGGGAAACCTTAATGCTTCAGCACCAAGACATTTTGGACAACTGTACACTTCCAGCTTTGTGGGAACAGTTTGGGGAAGAACCTTTTCTGTTCCAGCATGAGGCCCAGTGCACAAAGCAGCTCCATAAAGGCCTGACTGGGTGAGTTTGGTGTGGAAGAGCTTGACTGGCCCTCACAGAGCCCTGACCTCAACCCCATCAGACACCTTTGGGATTAACTAGAACGGAGATTGTGAGAATCTTGGAAGAATATATTAAAATTAATCATAATTTATTTCATGTTTTGTTATAACATAATTGTCCTGAGTTTAGTAAAAGCAGTAAAGTGACAGCTCATCTAAATTAGGCGTGTCCCGTAAAAAACATGCCCTGAATTGATTTAAATGGTGGTGTCACATCAAGCAAAACTAAAATTTAAACTCAAAATAGAATAAAAATGTAAAAATGAATTCTGCTCTGCTGCATTTTTGTGCTCTTGTCTTTGTGCTAGGATTGGTGGGGCATTCCCCCTGTAGTTGGCACCTGTGCACAGAAATTTAAGGCTGATTCCAGCTCAATTTCTTTTTGTGTGATTGAGTAATATATATAAAGTGTTATATAATGCTTATTTACACTATCTGTCCAAAAGTATCCAGACAGTCCTAATACTGAGTGAATTCAGCTACTTTAAGGTCTCCCATTGATGACACAGCTTGCATAATCTCCATAGGAAAGCAGTGACCGATAGAATGGGAGCAGCCTAAGATCACATGAGCCTAATGTCACCATGCCTAATTCTAAGTGGGCTAGAGGGGTATAAAGCCCCCCAGCACTGGGCTATGGAGCTGTGGAACTGCATTCTCCGGAATAGTGGAGCTCCATCCAATACCTTTAGGATGAGTTGGAGTGATCCAGAACTGACCATCCAACATCAGTACCTGACCTCACTAATGCTCAATCAAATCCTCACAGTAACGTTCCAAACTCACTATTAACACCTTTATTTCAGAAGAAACTCTGCCTGAATTGTCCGATCTGACCACTAGATGGCGGTGTGCACCTTCAAAAGCTAAACTGTCTCAGCCAGGCAGACTGAATCTCACATACTGTGTTTATATTGATATATTAGATTGATATAAATATATATAATTTTTAATAAACCTTCTGCATAACATAATTCAGTGTGTGAGATGTAAGCAGAGTGATTCAGAGCGGTTTGGTGTGAAATGGTTCAGATGTCTTTACAGTGGTGGTGATAGGAACCAGGGGTCGCCATGACTACAACACAAATAT